TTACAGAAAAATCCTGCAGGTTTTTAAAATTTACTGTAAAATGGGTATTTGACTCTCATAAGCATTTACAAGACTTCCACTGTTCCACATAGTATGTTTTAATGTCTTTCCAGGAATCTTTGTTAAGGTGCAACACATGTGCATATATCAAAATCAAGGCCTCTTGTATTGTGTTGACAGCAAAGGGAGGGAGGCAACTGTGGCTAGGACATTGCAAAGTTACCAATGACCACAAAGTTTTCTTGGGAATGCATGCTCATTTGCAAACATTGTTATCTGAACATATAAAACACCGCCTTTGCTGATCATGAGTGTATCTTCTCTCAGTACACCAGTGATACCTGCTAAGCACTTGCATGGCTTTTGAATGAGTCCACTTCAGCTTACCTGATGGAGTTACCAGACAGTTTTAACACAACACACCCGCCTCGCATGTGACAAATGCAATTACTTTTCCCCCCAAAAAATAGCAACCTACTGTTTCAGGCTTAACAGGAATGATTTCTAAAAATGTCATGGAAAATGAAATTAATTGCTACAGTAACACCAAGCATTGAACTCTTTTAGATTAGATTTATAAACAATGTATGGCACCTAGTAATTATGCCTAAGCAAAGGTAAACCATAGCACAGATGTATTATATGAATCACTAGTCTTTTTTTACCATGCTTTCTTTTATGTTCACTTTCATCTCTACACATCTATAGCTATTTTGCAAACAAAACCAGCACCCCAACACAGAATAAGTGATCACCTCCAACCTGGTGAGTCTTAACCAGTTATACCAGTAATATTATCTACCTATCTATAGTATTTATCTACCAGTTCTGAATATAGTGTGTCTGCAACTTTCTTGTACAATATTAATGAATGAGTGTAAATGGATGAGCTAACCTGTTTCACGTAACCATAGTAAAGATTCAAGGGCCAGAATTTACAACCTTTCCTGCAGCACTCATGGCTATCTTATGGCTTGCATCCGCAAGATTCTTAGGAGCAAGAAAGAGATACTACCCATTGGTAGTAGATCTTTATAGTGGGGCTTATGTCAACAGGTGTTTTCCTGCATTTCACGCGCATTTGGAATGCACATCAAAAAGCAGATCAAAAAAGCCCTTTTGAATTTGAATGAGCAGTACACATGGCAGTTCAGAGGCTACGCTTGACCGGGTTTGCATTGTGCTGCATTTCTCTGAAAGTCCTATTTTACAGCAACTCAAACAAAGCTTTTGCTTGTCAAATGCTGGATTGCCATTCAAAAGCATATATTTTCATTAGGGATGCACCGATATATATCGGCCGACGAAACATATCGGCTGAAAATGGCACTTTTGGCTGAATGCCAAAAGTGCCATTTTCCTGCCAATACATTGGCGCATCCCTGCTTTCTTTCCTCCCTGCTGGGCGCTGCTCTGTGTGTCCCAGCGGGGAGAAGAGAAAGTGTGACAGCCGGCGGAGCGCTGCGGGAGGAGAGCGTTGTGAGCGGCCGGCGTCTCTCCTCCCACACTGCTCAGCCTCCTACCAAAGTCCGGCAGAGCGGTGTGTGGGTGGAGACGGCTCGCGCTGTCACAGGAGGCTGAGCTCTCCTCCCTGCACCGCTCGCTCAGCCTCTTGATCTACATCACCTCCTGTTCATTCATGATTGTAGTTATAGTAAACACACTATGTTCTCATGTTATGAATGAACAGGAACACTCAGTATAGAGGATTCCTGTTCACTTTAACAGGGCCTGCAGAGAGAGAGACTGAGGAATTTGTGTTCTCAATTTCTTTTTCTATTTTAAAAGGGAAATATCAGGGGTCTGTTTTGTCCCCTGTTTTTTCCCCAAAGCCCCTAAAATTTTTTTTATTTTGGTTTCGTTTCAGTTTGGAAATTTCCATTTCAGTGCACATCTAATTTTCATATGAATATGCAAACACAGCACTCAAAGAATGCCTATCAACAAAACTCCTTACTATGATCACGTCTTATAGTGCTGAAGTTACATACATAGTGCATTTAGAAGTACAGACATGTGAGCCCTCCATAAATGCATTTATCAGCCACTAATCTGTCATATAACCTCCACATGGAGGTAGGAGCTACAGTATATACAGCTGTTAAGGAACTAACACTTTCAGACAATACAGGCCTTCCCGTGTTTACATCCATCAGTCCAACAGTTTACATCCACAGCAAAAAAATTTAAAGTTCCTCTCTCACCACTATTGTAGTCTTTGCTCCATTGGCCCAAGTTATCATATAGCTGGTAAATAGGGATGTCCCGATGCCACTTTTTCAGGCCCAAGTACAAGTACATCCCCTCATGTACTTTCCGATACCAATTACCGATACTTTTTCTTAAAGGGACAGGTGACTTTAAATGATCCATAGTACAACTACATGTTATGTACTATGGATCATGGTTTAACCTATTCATGTTAGCAGTGGAGAATTGTAACTCTATTGCTGGAGTGTAGTGGAGGTGTATGCTGTATATATGTACTACATATACATTACACAAGTCCAGTACACTATAGCAATAGATTTACAGCCAGCCCCGTCTCATCTTCCCTCACTTACAGTTTCACTCCGATCCCTGTTGCCTCACGCGGTGCCTCTTGTAGTCGACGCTAAGCAGGATCGCTGCATCGCCTCTCGGTGCTCAGCTTGTGGGAGGCGCTCACAATTCCGCCCTGCTAACATGAATAGGTTAAATCATGATCCGCAGTACATATACAGCACACACGTCCAGTACACTGCAGTAATAGAGTTACAATTATCCCCTGCTAACATGAATAGGTTAAATCATGATCCATAGTACATAATAGTACATAACATGTAGTTGTACTACGGATCATTTAACCCATTCATGTTTGCAGGGGATCATTGTAAATCTATTGGTGCAATGTATTACCTCGCCGAGCGTCGCGTCACTGCTGCTCCGGTGGGCGGCGCTCCGAGCAGGGTCATCTGGCAGTAACAAATGTTTTACTTTAGGCCTATGGCTTGGAAGTACTGAGCAGTACTAGCCACAATGCCTTTTATTTGAATAGGTGAAAATGAGCTCTTCAAGGGCTGCCAAAATGTGCATCAGATGCCCGCTTTAGAGTGCACATAGGATGTAAATTGGTCATGAGCACGCATAACAACCTGACATTTATACACCACTTAATGAAGTTCATTACAAATATCCACAGTTTCCGATGTTGTTTATCTCATTGTATTTAAAATGAAACTGGTCATTGAGATGGTCAAGGTGCTGGTTGGATAGGTGTGCATAGTCAAACCACCTGTTTGATTTTCTCAGACATAGAGAAGTGTATAGATATGTACACTCGTTTGACCCAAGTGTGACCACCCACGCAAATATATTTGTTGATTGCTATGTGCAAGAGCAATCAGCCAAGAAAATCTAACATTGATGGTAATTTTTCCTCAAAGAATAATGAGCCAAGGGTGTCAGCTGATACTTATTGGTGCTCATAGACAATGACCAGTTTGGACAATGTCTAAGGGTACCCATGCAGGGCAAAGCAACGGGTTCACATTAATCCCACTGTGGCAGATTGTACTGGCCATGGGGTTAGGTAATTGCTGGCTACTATGTTAGCAATAGGTTGAAACAGGCGGTCAGTTACAAAATGGGTAAACTCACCTAAACAGGGTGTGGACAGAAGGTTTTAAAAGGAGATGCAGCTAACCGGTCACTGGGAAGAGATAGACTGTGAAACACAGATCTCCCAGGCTGCTGTACTGGAGATATAGTGAGACCTGAGAAAATGTTATGTTTGTTTGGCAGGTGTTTAAAGGCTTAGCTTGGCACCTTTATCCATTGAGGGTAAAACTGTTTTCTATTTGTAGGTAGATCTCTGACAGAGATAGGCTTTTTGTCTATGTATTTTTGTGAAAATGTTGTCACTGAGTACAATAAACTTCCCTGCTAAGGACTTTTGGACTCCAGCCTCTACAAGTTTATCGGCTTACTGACTGCATTGTGACACAGTGTTACCCAGGAGCAGGCACACACTGTTACACCCACATTTTAAATGTCATAATTAATCTGAGGAAACAACATTGGTCACTTAATTGTTTTCTGGGCATCTTCACTTAAAGTATATGTAAAGCCAAAATGTTGTTTTCATTTTGGATAGAGCAGGGAATGGTTAAGGGCTGTTTCGTATTCACTGGTTAGGATTTTACAAATGTATTTAGTGATATGTATGTAGAACAGAATGACTGAGGGTCCTGTTCAGTTACAGATCTGACCAAACCTGACTAATTTCTTGTTAGAATACCAACATCTCCATATTAAATGAGCACCAATATAGGCTATTCTTTTCATCAGCTTGATGGAAGCTATTGCGCTTCACTTGGGCTAAGAGGGGAAGAGAGCCAATGTGATGCTATAGTCTAGTTAAGTACACTGATTGCACAGGAGATACATTTCTAGCCTTAGCATTAACCTTACCTTGTAAGTATAATAACACATTCAAGACCATGAGTGAAATTTAAATTCACATAACTTACCCAAAGGAAATGAATAGCCACCGCTTTCTTTTCCAGTTTTGCTATTTTACCATCCCCAAAGCAGTATGGTACAAAAGAAAATAATTTTTAGGCAAAATGTAACAGGCCAGGTTTAGGGTCTTCTCTTGTTCATATATATGTATATGTATGTATATATGGAATTCTGTCTTACTACTACTTACTGTCTATTTCCTTAGTAGGTTTTCTAATTTTTGGACCCACTACTGTACTCCGTATGCTGTAGAGATGAGCAAATTGGCAGACTGGCCAGTACTGACAACAGAGATTCTCTTTTTGTGCAAACATCAGTAGATGTAGAAATCTTTTAAACATCCACTAGTAAGGCTTTTATGATCTGCCAGTATTCCGTCTTATTTTTAGGAGTATCAACATCATGTGAATCTCTTTTGCACTCACTAATTTGCCCTACTGCAAATTGATGTGACCATCTGGGCAAAATAATTATTGCCACTTCCTACATATTAACAGGAAAAGAATTCCAGTTGATTGTGAAGTCTGTAGATCCTGATGAAGCATATGAAGACTCATACATAGAGGATGAGGTGACCGCGACTCCTGTATATACTGCAGCTGGAAATACAGAGGAAGATACTTATCGTAATGAGACAGCAACTACCACAGAATACCCAACTACCACCTCAGAGCTAAGATACAAAGGTAGGATTATATTTAGATTAATCCACCAATTTCCCTACCAACTGCAAAGTTATTCAAAGAGTGCAACCCTTGCCCGATAATTTACTAAACAAGTAATGTTTACACTTGTGTATAAGACAATCTTATAACTAATCAAGTTCATGGATATTTTCCAAGAACCTGACAGTGAGGGTATTCCATTTGTGCAGACATGCACAAAGGCCCTCTGGGACATAGGGGCCTATTCATACTGGATGGTGGGACTGATGGGTGCGGGAACTCCTGCCATTGCACAACTGGACATGGCTTAATTCTAACTAGCTGTGAATATGTCAATATACAGTGCATAAGTATTTTTACATTGTCAGTAATTAAATGGGGGGGGTGGAGCTTGCACAGGGGCCCTTTGGTAACTCTGTCCACCACACACCGATAGGGTTATTAGCAGAAAATATAACGATTAGTTGGAAAGTGAACGTCCCCCCAGAAAGAAAAAACAGCAAACTTCAAAATACCTAGTCATGCTAGAAAGTTTAAATGATGCAATTTAAAAAAGAACCATACTGCATTGATGTTTCCCTTACATCTTCATTACAAGCCACTGATACTGTGCGCATGTGTTTTTCTTTTGATTAATGCCTGACCTTTCTGTTTCTAAAGCTTGCATCCATTTAAATTTTATAACTATGTCTATCATTTTTTTATACGTATAAAGGAAGCAGGTGTTCAAGGGCACTCATTGTAAATATAATGATCGACATTAAACGTGTTGTTAATTTGCTGATAACAGTTGATGCACTTTATTCCTCTCCAGGCGGAAGTGATAAGGAGCTAATGGGACAGTTGCGCAGAAGGAAGCGGCATGTTGGTGGTATGTTTATTGACAGGGATCTTCAACAGAGCAATGATCTCATATACCACACACAAAACATTTTATTTCTTTTTATTGTGCATGACTTCCCTATTTAGAAATAATCTAGCTTAGTTACAATGTACATTCATTTTCATGAGCAAAGATTAATATTGTTCCTACTGTGGTTACTATATGAGAATTCACAAATGTAATGCTATAAAAGTTTACTAACACTTAAAGGGCACAAACACCTATATAAACAATTGAAAATATCATTATCCTTGATGGATTGTAGGTCCAATGGGCAGCAGATTGCTTAAAAATTCTAAAACATTTAATACATTACAAAGGATTTTCTGACCAAGCTGTCTGATAAAGGATACATTACTCTGCACTCTTTTCATTGAAATATCAGTTTGAGCTACTGAACTCTGTATACAATAGGTTTTTAAAAATTATTGGTGCTAAAAAGACAGAGGAAAGCAATTTAAACTTCCAATTGTGGGGACAGTATAAGGTTATATAACATTCATATGCCATGGATTATATTTAAATAAAACAAAACAGAAAACAATTTAAAATTTCATTTTACAACCCTGCTTATAATAAGGAAATCAAAATAGGTTCAGAACCACTATAGATTTTCCTTAATATTGCTCTCTTTCATAGGAGGGGTCATTATCAATTATATAACAATTAGGTGAACATTGGCAGTAAGTATACAAAACATGATCATAATCTAAAGAAAACATTTGGAAAAAAAAACACATTGATTTATAATGGACGTATTTAATTTACCAATAGGAAATACAAGTGCTCACTCTCTTATTCCAGTGAAATTAAGCTTCCTTACGAACCTCTGCCCATGTGTGTTCGTAAGTGTAAACACTGCCATGCTCATCAGAGCAAACTGCTGCAGGTATGAAGTGCAAGAATCTATAGATGCACATGTCTGTATCCGCTTCTAATACCCTGCTTTTATGGCTAAATCTTTATGATGGGCAACCTTGTTGGCCAATAGGCCTTCACGGGGGTGTAGGGGGAAGTGACAAAGCTTTGTCACCACAGTCTGAGATTCGACTATGTGGGAAATGTTGCAGACACATGTTAAATCTGAATATTTGGCAAGAAAACAGCTTAAATCCTCAACCAACATTTTTTTTGAAAGCAGAGGCCCTGTACTATAAGAAAAGGACTCCTCCTCAACATGGAAACAAGGTGCAAAAGGGGGAGGATCTTTTATGAATTTAAAGAGGGACGCAATACCATATTATTTGTTTGTTTTTTACATAAAGGGTCAGTATCATTGGAAAAAAAAAACTTCCACTCTTGCAAGGCACCTTATCCTCATGTTGAGAGAACAAGTGCCTTATCTGCACATACTGTCCCCCCAAAAGGGATGTGGGGGTCTGCAGAGAGGGAACTCATGGGAATCTGCAGACCCTATTTAGAATAAGGGGCCCAAATATTTCCCCCCCCAGGTGAAGCAGTATAGAGTACATAAGGTAGGGGTGGTAGTGCTACCCACACTAAATGATAAATCCCTGGCCGCTGTTTGTCAACAAACATTGTCACTTTAACAGAAGTGCATTGTACTGCTCCATAATGTCATCTGCAGGTTTAAGGCATCCCCAAAGCATGTTATTTAATGGATTTGTGTATTTTCAGTGTTACCCTTGATGCCACATCCACACTGACATGAGGATGAGAGTTTGACTAACAAAACTGGATTGGCATTGTTTCAAGCCAGGCTATGCATGCCCATCAGGTTTACATGTAGTAAATCAGAGTACCCTGCAGCATTTCTAAAGACTGACAGACCATATAACAAGCTTATGAAAGTTTGAAAAAATACATGTCAGGTTTATGACATGATGAAACTACAGCCAAAAGCTAAAATCAGTCAACCACTTCAAACATGTATGTAAATTTGATGTGTTAAAAAATCATATGTATATATTTTATTCCCTTACAGACCCCTGCCAGCTACCCATGGATGAAGGATTTTGCTCAGATTATATATTACTTTGGTATTACTATTTAAAAGCTGATGATTGCCGGCCATTTGTATATGGTGGCTGTGGAGGAAACCACAATCGTTTCAATACCAGGCAAAAGTGTGAACAGATTTGTAAAAGCAAAACAGGTGAGTCTGTGCAATATATAAAAAACAATAAAAACTAATTCCTCAAACCTACCCACAATGTGATACTAACATAGTACTGTGACCTCACATAAGTGCAGCTTGCTGGGAGCAATTTGTTCAGCTCTGGTTCATGTTCTTCAGATAACATGGATCTATAGTGCCACGCAGTCAGAAAAAATAGGCATGTCTCTGTAATGACATTTTTAGGACCTCCTGTGCCTCTGGTTTTACTGATCCCATTTGCTCCACTGACTTTATTTCCACCCCTGTTCTGTGCATTATCAGATAATACATGGAAACTGTCTTTCATGTCGTTCCAACATCTGCTAAAAATATTTCTGCTTAACTCAGAACACCAATAGAATCAGTTTCTTTAATCACACAAAATAAAAAGCATATATGATTATGATGAGTATGTCCTTAGGAAATATTGATACAAATTCATACTTAATGTGCAACCTACTCTGTATATAAATAGAAAATATTTCACACCTTTTATAGGAGTTTTTCTTCATTGGAAAACAATCACATAAACAATAAGGGAGGGGATCTAAATGGCCATTAATATACTATGCTGCCACAAAATAATAGTGCTATATGACCAAGCTGCTTTCATTTGATGTATCTCAAAGGAGAACTATTAAAAACAGGCCATAGTGCCCAAGCACATTAAGATATATAAAAATGTCTTACTTTGATTTTGTATTTTAGTCATTCAGTGATTGCAGTGTGTTGTGTGTTTGATTACATTGTAATTTGCACCATATTTTTGGATTTGCAAATGTATTGTGCATACGCTGGCATTTCTGTGTACAAAAAAAATATGAAAGTATATAGAAGCTCACAATCTATTTTGTTATGTTTGGCGTCATAATTTATTGTATACAGTTTTCTTAAGCAAGTTATTTTTTGTAAATCTGTTGGTCAATTTGACAGTTTAGCGAACTGTCAAACTGACCCATATTCGCCAGTTTACCTGCCCGGCCGTGAATCCGTCTTTTAGCTACGGTACCACTACTACCACTAAATGACAGATCTTGAACGTCTTCTGCACTGCACTGCAGCTAACATACTAACAGCCCCACTCCAGCTGTTTACTGGAACGCATCAAAAACGCGGCCAAAACGCACTGCATCAGTAGCACCGCGTCTGCAGATGCGGACCTGATCAGGACCTGAAACTCATGTGAACAGGCCCTGAATCTGCATACTGACAGCCCCTTGGTAAAAAAAAAATAAACAAAATGAATTGTCAGCATCCGGACCGAAAACGCATCAAAAACGCGTCAATAACACGTCAAAAACGCACTGCATCAGCAGCTCCACGTCTGCTGATCAGGACCTGATCTCATGTGAGATCTCATGTGAGATCAGGTCCTGGTCTGGTCCTGATCAGCAGACGTGGAGCTGCTAATGCAGTGCGTTTTTGACGTGTTTTTGATGCGTTTTTGGTCCGGATGCTGACAGTTCATTTTTCTGTCGTAAGCTGAACGGACTGCGCACGTGCCAACTGTAGCCCATAAAACACATAGACATGAGGATATCAAGGACATCGAGATACAATCAACTGCCAATGCTCACTGCCACAGGACCGATGATCAGGTGAGTATATTTTCTTTATTTTAGCTCCTAGACCAAAATGAGCACTTAACCCTTGCATTGCAGTGGTAGCCCAACTGCAAAGGTTAATGTTTAGATTGCATGGAGTTCTTAAGGAGTTCTTCTTTAAGAAAACTTTATACAATGCCAGATTTTGGGTTTGAACACTGTGGCATTGTGAGACAATACCACGGTGTTAGGTGGCCTCAAAGTCACCCAGGGTTCTCAGCCAGAGGGGCTGAGTGGCTCCAGGAAGACATTACTGGTACCAGGAGAGAACTGCCTTTTCAGTTCTTTCTGGGTTTTCTGGTTTGAACACTGTGGCATTGTGAGGCAATACCACGGTGTTAGGTGGCCTCAAAGTCACCCAGGGTTCTCAGCCAGAGGGGCTGAGTGGCTCCAGGAAGACAGTACGTGTACCAGGAGAGAACTGCCTTTTCAGTTCTTTCTGGGTTTTCTGGATCAAGGTTGGGATCCTGGAGCCAGGAGATTTCTTAGAGCTCTGGGTGGGAAGAAATCTCCATTCTTGGGTCCATGCTTTGGTGGTGACCAGCACCTGATTGTGCACCTGTTTACATCCCTCATGAAGAGTGTGCTGGGATGTGTTCAGGCCCCCCACCTGTGAGTCAGGAGAGCTCCACCCTGGAGTCAGTGGAGGCCAGTGCAGCAGGGAGCTGCGGGGTTTGCGAACCATATTGAGAGGATTGGCATGTTATTGCCGTTGTCTGGAGGAACCAGACAGTGGCCCTAAAGATTGAGGCCGGAGCAGCAGTGCTGCAAGAGAGACAGATGTTGGTGAGCCCTTATCTGTTATATGCTACAGCGAGCTATTTATGTTGGATTTCATGTTATCTACCGTTTTGAAAGCAAATAAACTGCATCTGACTTGCACCTCCGGTCTACAGTGGAGTGTCCTTGTTACAACACACTTTCATTTTTCTTTAATACCACGTGTTGTTTTCCAGTTGTTTATTCAAAAATGATTGAATCACAAAAAAGACAATGCACCTGTGAACAGAAGAGTTGTAATAAAGATGATTTGACATCATATCTCTGCCACAACAACAAGAGTTAAACTACAAAATGAGCAGTGAACTAACCTGCAACATATCTTATCTTTCAGATCCTTCCCCAGGGAGGTGATAATGTTCCCAGATTATGCATCACACAAATATATCAGTAGGAACTGAGAAAAGAAGATGGTGCATTTTTTATGCATAGCAAAGTGAAGACTTTTTATTCCGGCTGATTTCAACCAGTGTGGTTGTGCGTGTGTTGTGGGGTGGGGGGAGTAAGAAGGGCTGAGGTTGTAAAAGTCTATGCACAGTATGAAAGGAATTGACACAAGATTAGTGGAAACACAGAAAAAAACAGTATTTTATGTACAGTGCAGTACTAAGCACACAGTAGCTGTAGCCTCTGGATGTTTACTACTTGTTTTATGTTTTTGTATGTTATGAATAATGATACTGTAAATTATAGTGAAACTTTAAAGCAATTTCATTGGTGACATTGCAATGGCATAAATATGTATAAATAAATGTCCAATCAAAGTGTTTTTAATACATTTATAAAACATTTCCTTTTTTTTAAAATTGAGAATGTGGACATTTATAATAAATCCCATTAATATGATAAAAGTGTCTGGTTCCTTTATTCTTATATTTCATTTCAAAAACATGTGCGTGTGGAGGCAAGTATTGCCAGGGTGAAGTGTCAGCGGGTTAGAGGCAGGAGTCTGTATGCGAGGTAGCCACCCGTACTAAGGTGCTCCTATCCAAGTAGCAGGAATGTTATACGCTCCCCTTGGAGTAGTGGCAACCAGGACAGATAGTCAGAGTATCCAAATCGGCAGGCAAGTTCGTAGTCTAGACGTAATAGCAGATCAGGGCAGGCAGAAATACAATTGAGGTCAAGTAACAAAGCCAAGGGTCAAAATACCAGGAAGTCATACGAAAGGTAGGTAACGTAGGCTAGGGACTGCTAGAGGCAAAGCTCTGCAATAACCAAGCGCCATTTTGTGGAGGAAGTTGGTATTTATAGGCACAGGTGCTTCTGTGATGTCATGGGAGGAGGAGGAAGCATTGGCCTCACTGTTTGGCACTGTCTACACATCTCCCTAACAATATATGTGACGCACAGTACAGAAGTCAGGGTGTGACGCACAGTACAGAAGTCAGGGTGTGAAGCACAGTACAGAAGTCAGGGTGTGACGAAAGTACAGAAGTCAGGGTGTGACGCACAGTACAGAAGTCAGGGTGTGACGCACAGTACAGAAGTCAGGGTGTGACGCACAGTACAGAGGTCAGGGTGTGACGCACAGTACAGAAGTCTGTACACAGTGCAGGAGTCACCGGTCATTATGTAACGCAGTGCAGAGGTCACAAAGAAAGTAAAGGGACTTACAGTTGCTTTGACCTCTTCATCTCCTGGTGATGGTGCAGGGAGCAGCGAGGTTTCCTACACGTCCAGCTGGCTCCAGGTGCTCCTCTCCCTCCCAGTCTTCCTCTCCCACTAATGGCAGCTGAGGTGGGCAGAGGAAACTGCCGTGGCCGCCGAGGAGCCCGATCAAAGAGTGAATAGACGCTGGCAGTAGAGCTTCTTGTTCTCTTCTCCCCGCCGCCGCAGCAGTCTTGAAGTCAGAGCAGTCTTAAAAAGGCCCCCCTCCCGGTCCACATTATTCGGATGTTATTAATCTGAGTTGCCCCACTCAGTATGCCCGTCGCTTGCGGCCATATTGAGTGGGGCACTCAGATTACTAACGTGCTGGATTATTCTGACCCAGGGGCAGAGTGGGCAGGGGGCATACTCAATATGGCCGCAAGCGACGGGCATACTGAGTGGGGCAACTCAGATTAATAACGCCCGAAAGATGTGGACTGGGAGGGGGGCCTCTTTAAGACTGCTCTGATCACACCTCTCTGCGTTCCCTCTCTCTCCTCCTGGCCGCCGCAGCTTCAGCTCCACGAAGCGGGCACTCAGAGAGGCGGCTCTGAATGATCACACCTGTCAGCGCTCCCTCTCTCTCCTCCCGGCTGCTGCAGCTTCAGAGCGGCCAGGAGGAGAGAGAGGGAGCACTGACAGGTGTGATCAGAGCCGCCTCTCTGAGTGCTCACCTCGTGGAGCTGAAGCTGCAGCGGTCGGGAGAGGAGAGAGGGATCGCTCAGCGGTGTGATCAGAGCAGTCTTAAAGAAGCCCCCCTCCCAGTCCGCATCTTTCCAACCCCAACCGACGCCCTCAAGCAGCCGCTTTACTTGCTTGTAGGGTAGCACCGGCTCTGAGTATGCCTGAAATATAATAATTTGAGGCTATCGACATTTATCATGTTTTTAGGCCTCTGATGATGTATAGAAAAAATGTATTTCCTCAAATGTAATGAGACATTATTCTGCAATATTGTACTGATGGTAGGTCTCATAGTCGCTGTGAAATTAAAACATACTCATCCAAAATTTTAATATATTTGTTTAAAGTTCTTTCCAACAGCAAACTGATTCCCTGCCTTTGCCAGAATGAGCAAATTAATTGAATAAGGGTCACACTACCTGCCCTGGACACTTGTTTTGTCAGAGATCTTACAGCATCAGGAACTACTGGAAAAAGAGGGCAAGGGAGAATTCCTTTAAGACTTGCATAGCCCTGACTTGCTGATGGCCTGCATAGGACAACTGGCACTGTGCGCAAGTAGAGTGTGAGGCATAGGCTCTCATTTTCTGTAGTGTGCCATGACACTGTGACCTTTGAATGTGCATGAATAACCAATGACATTGGTTAGCATATTCCAAAGCCGTTCTAATTAACAGAAAAAGAAATCCAGAGCCCATTACCTCTCTGACCTGTGAAAAAGTTTGTTTCTAATCATGCCAATAAAATTAGTCTGCAAAATGCATATATAATTTAACAATAGCTAGGAACACTGTATAGTGCCACAGAACATCTCTTAAAAAATAATTCATGAGCTTTACCCCATCCAAAGGTTTCCATGAACAAAAACATACTTGGCGTGAAAAAGTCAAAGTGGAAGAGATTCTAGAGTCTGGTACCTAGACAATTAAAAACTTTTACTTTGTGCTGTGCTAAAAGTCCAGCATACAAAGCAGTACACAATTTACTGGCATGTCAATATGGAATAGAGATTCAGGAAATCAAAGAGCTTGGTTTCCATATGTCTTATATTTGGGTTTATAGAAGAAAAATATAACAGAACATAAGCTCCAGTCTTACCAGCTGTAGTTTAACCTTTTAAATGGTTACTTGTGTTTCTCCATTTCATACATTATTTTTTATTCACCTGCAATATACCTTTGAAATTGTTGAAAATTTGACTTCTCCAATAAAGTAAATTCCCTAGCACAGCCCCCTCACTTCTTGTTCATGATATCCCTCTCCTTTTTTGGAAGTGTCTAATTACTCTATGGGCTGGCCTAGCTACTCTGTCCCTCCCTTCACCCCCCTACATAACCGTTTATGTAGCTGCTGGGGGCGAAGTGAAGGGGAATAGTGCAGAGTGTCATTTGAGTGACAGCTCTGGATCTGTTTGGGCTGCTGACATCACATCCAAGATGGTGACTGACACCCAACAGCAACCTCAGGGCTTTTGGATGTCTAAATACAAAACACCTTTACAGGTAAATAACCTGTCTCAATTACATTAAATGCACATATGCTCTTATGATAAGTTTAGTATTTGTTCCAATTGTATGATTTATCATCACTTGCTGCTGTGATGACAGCTCTTACATTTTGGTTTCCCACTTGCTTTTTGTTTAGGCGACGGCGGTCACTAGGACAAATAAAGGGGTGGATCTCCCAAGAGGGGACACATATAGCAATAAAAAGCCCTAATCCACTTTATCCACAACTAGAAAAAATGTTTTTAAGTTATACTTTTAAGCATACATCTCCCTATGAAATTCCTACCAAAATAGCTCCTTATAATTTGCCTTTAACATTTCCTGATCAACATCCTAATATCGCACTGCAGCATCCTATTAAAAACTTTCTAGAAGTCAGTATTTCCATATGTATAGACATGCCTTCCCAGCCATCCATGTTTTTTGGGGATTACGTTCATTTAGACTTTGTGAAAACTAATATTTGTGTAATTCTCAAAACCTTTGGCCAGGACTGTATATTTTATTGTGATTGCTAGTTCTGTCATTAGGTGGTAGTGTCCTTGTATACTGTTCTTCTTTGCAAAACTACATGCTCATCTTTCTGTCCCTGTAATTTTCTAATAAAATCAAAAAGGGGTCATCCATGTGTTTAGCAACATCTGGTAACAATGATATCTCCAGCAGCTTTCCAACAGGTTATGGGCCCTGCTACAAGCCAAGGTACTAAATACAGCTGCACATACAGCTCAAACATAGATGAAGGCTACTAATACTGCTTCGTATACAAAATTTGTGTTGAACCACCAATGAAAATGAGACACCACACCCGCAAAAAAAACATGTAAAAAAAAAAGAGAAAGAAATGGGGCTTTAAAAGTGTCATATCCGGATAACGCGGGACCAAATCACATATATGGATATTAATTCATTAATAAATTATTTTATTTTGACAGCATATTCATTTGTAAAATACATAGTTATTAAACATATATACAGTCAAGTTAAAAATAATTGACCAGATTAAAAACCCAAGGCGCAACGCCCCCCTAGATCCCATTTACACATCTCATTAAATCTAAATGATAACATGATAGCTTATCTTTAACAATGTCCTTAAATAATTGGAATATCCATAATTGTCCTCTTTAATTTCATATTGATGTTGTGCAATGGGTCTAGCCTTTGACACGTTTCGCCAACTGGCTTCTTCAGAAAGTTTGGGAAAACGCCTATAGCATATATCTAGTGACCAAAGAAATAATGACTAAATGAATTGACCAATAACAATACAGTGTAAACATCCAATAAAATGTGATATAGCCAAATATATACCATTTATCCGGAAAACTGGTGATGAGTTGGTCTGCCGATGCAAGGGCTAACCCCTAAAACCCAGGGAGGCAGAATGATTGAGGGACACAGATAGACGGCCAAATGGGGGAATCGAATGGCCCTCAATATACCTACCAAGGATAAATATTAGTCATAACTGGAAAAATAACAGTAAATGAGAGCTCTCACATTACATATAGAAATATAGGTATATATTTT